GCAAGAAGCTAGACTGATAATGAGAGGAAAATAGCCACTGGCAGATTGGAGAAGCTTGTGAAGTGGACAGAGGCATTCAAATAAAAAGTCCACTTTAGTGTCCTGTTATCTCCAGAGTGTTTGCCGAGTCTTCTTGCTGTCTTCCTTTTCACAAATACCAACCGTACAGCATTGCAAAGAACAGTCAGAAATCGAGAAGTGCAGAGTCAGCTCTCACTCTTCAAAAAAATGAACAGAGACTAAAATAGGTGGATCTACAATGAAGCTTTGTGGTACGCCAGATTTCAAATTTTACTTGCTGTAAAACCTTACTGGAAGCCATTCAGAAACTTATGAACAAAAATGCCAAACACAGAACAGTGATAATTTTCCCATAAGTGAATTCCTGACCAACACTTTTAAGATCTAAGAGGCAGCTCACATAATCTTGACATTTCGCAGGCACCGCAAGTCATTCATGATTGGTAACTCCCTACTTTTTTTCTTTTTGTTCCTCAAAAGTATGGGGAACATTTTGTACTCCCTACAGCCTCTTCCTCCCTTCTGAGAAAGAAGAGTAACAGGTCATACTGCAGTGTAGCATCCAGAGACTTCTCAGGACATGGGAAAGAAGACTGAGTAAGACAGAAGGGCTGTAGACAGGGAGAAATAAAGATCTACAAGACTAAATGTTCTTACTTCTTCAATCACTGTAGGTGTATAACAAGTAGTTGTTTAAAGAGCTAGTCATTCCACAAGAGCTTTTTCTTCTCCTTGTATGCTTCCAGCATAACTATTCATTTTTCCTAGATGAGATCCATTTACTTACACAATTGAGAGCCTTGGCTAGCTTCTCAGTATTAAGTCACTTTCCAGAGCATGTACAGATGCCCTGTGGTCTACATTTACCCTCCTATTTGCAGATTTGCCTTTGTCCCACAAACTGCTAGGAAATTACTTGCACATATCCAGGGTGGTCAATATATCAAGGGCAGTAAGGTGGGTACTGCATTTCCAGCCGTGCCACTTTCAGGGTTATTTTCAGGGTTATTTTTTCATTACCTCCTTTCCA